TGAGGGAGTCTTGAGATAAATGTGTGTCAGAACTACATACTGTGCTGTGCCGAAGTGGTATGAGATGTAGGAGTCTTGTGTAATTATTTTATTTACAGCAACTTAGGTTGATCCATGACTATCACTACTTGTTGCATTTTGAATGGAACATGGAAACTATGCCCATATTCTTGTGTCCGTAATTATTGCTGTGTATTACAGAATGAATATCTGCCTCTTGCACTTCTAAGAGTTCAAAGAACCTGGCTAGGTTATGCTGGATATTTTGGGATGACTATGTGGTAATACAGGAATTTTTTTTTTTTTTTTTTTTTTTAATAGACCCTAAAGCGACAGAGTCAGTTGGCACTCTATTTCTTTAACACTATTCTAGCTCATGGGGATCTACGAAACAACAAACTAAACCAGCTTTCAGTCAATCTCTGGAATCTTGCTCAGAAACATGGCTTTGCTGACACCAAGACTATGGTAAGGGAATAAGATAATGCAGAGAAATTTTAGTTCTTAAGATCTTTTACAACTCCTCATTTGGGAAAAGGTAACATTTTCTTGATCTGAATAAACCTAATCTCTTTACAAGTTGCTCTCTTAAAAAAAAAAATTAAATGAGCTTAAAAAAGAACCTTATTTTTTAAATGCTTCTTAATGAATAAGGAGCTTCTCTTATTTCAAGTGGTCTGTATCTTTCTGGCACTCTTAAATGTACTTCATACATCAAGGAACCTGGAAATGTTGGGTGCTATAACTTTTTTTCAGTACAGAAAAGTATCTTTAAGAGAAATACAGCATTTTTATTTAGTGCAGGAACTGCATGGTGTAAGCTTGGACAATGGGCCTTCTAGAGCCTTTAAGAAAGATACACGTGATAACGAGCTCTGGAGTAAAAAATGCAAGGGCTTGTGTAGCCAGTGGAATTTAGGGAAAATCATGAGAGTGTCTATTAAAACACCTTCATGTAGATTAAATTATGGCTTATGAAATGAGGAAAGACAAAGACACTAAAAATCTCAAAATATTTTTCTTTTCATACCCAGGTGAAAACGCTAGAATACATCAAGAGGCGAAGCAAACAACCTGAAATGAGTCACTTGACAGACCTGGCCCTTCGGCTTCCTTTGCAGTCCAGGACCTGATGAATGCCTCTCTTCCAAGGAGTCACCTGTACAAGAGAGCAAGTAGCCGAGGCCAAAAATCACTGCTCTAGATTTTGACTGGAGGAGTTCAGTGTATTTTTATTTTACTTAGTTTGTCAGATTGACTTGGACACAGGTAAAAGTAAAACTGTTCTGAGTGCAATAATTTGACCTGACTTTCTGTTTCCAGTTTTACCACTATATTCTTATTTTAAATGCTCACTTAGATCCAGTAAAGGGTATTTTGAATGTCTATGGTTGCAAAAGCCTTTCGAAATCTAATCTGTTGTCATTTTAACAACAAAGGAAGAAGATAATCTGCCCAGATCAGTTCACAGCCTCCAAACTTCATCCCACTTGCAGAATAGTCTTTCTCCTGTGTAGAAAGCAGCATTTCAATATAATAATCCTACTAAGTCGTCTTTCTGCTTTGGGATGCTGCCAACATTTGTTTGGTCAGTTCCAGTAAAAGAGAAAAATGGCCGAGGTGTTACTGTTCTAATTTGCACAGTACATTTTCACAGAGATGTTTATGCTTTCATTTTAGTTCAGTGGTGTTTTGTAAAATGGAAGGAATCTTTAAATGCTGTCTGCAAAGGAAAATGGAAATGTATGCAAAGTACTCCATATTCGCAAGGTACACTGTATCACTGAATAAAACAATTTGCAGTTCATCTGTTTGTTCTGGGGGTGTTTCTTTGCATAGACAAATTTATCACCTTACCCTTGTGGAATTTAGTTACATGTACTGCTATTACACCTAATAAATTTCACTCTCACTACTTCTGTCCCATGGTAAGGAACCATGCTGAGACCTTGCATCTATTACTGCTTTAGCTTAGTGGTAAGTATTTTAATGAGCTAAATCCTTCCATGGATATTAAGATACATTTTTGCACAAAAATGTTTTGTTTTGTTAGGGCTAAACAAGTAATCAGTTTTGCTAGAACCATATATTTAAGGAGTTAGCAAGCTGATAATAAATACCACCCAAATTATTAAACCATTCTTTTTGCATGTTTTTTATCTCCTCAGTGGTTACTGAAGCAGGGCACTTCTAAAATACTTATTTTGTGTTAAGGTTGTAAAGAACTGAACTAGGACCCTTTGGTCCTGGTACAGACTATATATGTAAGCTGAGTAAAACTGCAGGAACACAAAACAATTATGAACTGGTATCAGCTTGATACAGAACCTTTCCAACCTTTAGTACACAGGTGTTTTAATTATACTGACTTTCCTTAATTCTACATAAAGCACACATAGATAATGAAATGATAGCACTGCACATTTTATCATGTCCTGCTTCAATTTAGCTTTCCTTCTTGCTGCAGCTGTACAAAACAACTCTCAACAGCACGTAGATGATTCTTCCTGTTGGGCTTGGAAACATAAACCACAAACTGGGTAAGCGGGATTAAACTCTGAGCTCTCTAAACCACCAAGTGGGTCACACTAAGCAGCTGTGCTGTGGCAGAAATTGCCCTCTGGGGGCAAATGTGCTGCTCTAAACCCAGTGTGGGGTTGTTCCAAATTCTGTAAAATGGAAACTCTTATGGCAGGCTTACAAATGTCCCAACTGTTCCTCTTCCTCATACAGGCACCACTTTTTGCATGTTGTCTTTTGAGTACAGTATAACTTTGGTTTCTTTATTGATGCAAGACCGCCATGAGGAATGCTTTCAAATGTTTTACTACTGTTTTTATTAGTGCAAAAATAGCTCAATGACAGGCAGAAAGCTGTGGTTAGTTATCAGGAGCGAACTCTAAACATCTAGCTTAGAAGCTAACGCAGCCACTCTAATAAACTGCTTTTGGTTTACTTCCATGTTAGAGCAAAATTAATTTTAGTTAAAGCACTCTGCTTATTATAGACCTCCTCTTTCTTCTGTATATAGCAAATATACAGGCCAGACCAAGTTTGACTGCTTGAAAAAAACTGGCAGTTTTTTCCCCAGGTATGTGTCTTGTTTTTCAAACTGTGATATTTTCACGTGCACAGTATTATCAAGAGTAAGGTGCCAGGCCATCCACAAAGCTATAGCTGAGCAACACACTGGTATACATTATGCAGTTCTAGATGGGAAGGAGAGTCCTTATCCAAAGGCAAGGCTAGGACTAGTATCACCTTCAGCATCCTCATCAGTGGCAGTGCAAGACCAGTCACTACCCATCCGAGACTGGCTCTGCAGCAGAAAGCTGTACATGTTGTCCCTCTCCTCCTAAATAAAGTCACTAGTTGACATTTTCCTACCTGTTCCTTTATTTCAACTCATTCTTTTGCTAGGCAAGTAGCTGAGGGCCTGAATTCAGCATTTGTCTTAAAATTGGAAGAGAAAACAGAACCTCTGCTACCTGAATTTAAGTAAAGCAACAGCCGAAGCCTAGAAGAGCTGGCTGAAGCCAGTCACTGAGCTTTCAGAGCACTGGTGCAAACCAGACTCACCCTGAGGTAGTGGTGGTTTTAAATGACACCTGAAAGGAGATGGTTTCTTCAAAGACAAGTTTAGACCCTGCAGGAAGGGGTTTGGCATCTCCCTCTTCCCAGGTATGGGAATGGAATCATGGCAACCCCTTAAGCTGGAGCCTCTGCATAATTTTCACTTCCCCTCAGGAGTTGCCCAAAATGCACTGGAAACAACTGCTCTTTTGTTAAGTGTATTTTCTGCTGGAGGCAGCTGCTTTCAGGTAGAGCGGTCCACTGGAAAAGACTATTGTGGAAAGTGAGGTTACCTTAAAAAAAGCAAGAAATTTAGTAGTTTGGTTGGCATGAGCTTATCAAAAAGGATAGGTAATTTGGCAGAAAAACAGTGAGCTGGGTAAGTAGAGACAGTAACCTAATTCTGGGGGGCTGGGGTTCCCCTGCAAGTTGGGCACTACTACAGCAGGCATGGACATAAGAGGTGGTCACCTTGTTCTGCTTAAGAACCAGAGCTACACTAGAACTTAACAACACTGTCTCCCATAACAAATGGCACAGCCAGTAATAAAGTACGTGACATCTTTTCACTATCTTTTTGTAACTTCAAGCAAGACACTGACAGACTGCTTTGGACCCTTGAATTCTGAACACAACATACACAAATGCAATCCTCATATTTGTACTCTTACTAAAAAGCCAGTGAAAGTGCAAGTTGTCTGAAAATTCAAAGGTTAGAAATTTCATTCAGATATAATGAACCCAATAAGCACATTATTAAAATTACCTTGCTTGCTATAATTTAGGAAGTCTAGATCCAAGTATTTGGTGCTGCTATCCAGAAAGCGTTTACCTTCATTTACAGGTAACAGCTGCTGCTTGAAAATCCAACTGCCAGCACGTAGTTAAAATATAGAGGACGTTTCATGCTATTCATTATTATAATGAAGATGCTAATATTTAAGCAACTACTTTCTGAGTTAAGTCTCCCCTCATCAAATTTGCAGGCATACCAATAATGTTTCTTCAAAGTAAAACGCCGTCACTTTGTACCACTCACTGAGTGTAAAAATGTAAAGATTTTACAGAACACTAAAATCCTTTTGAATCACTAAGATATAGCTAAAAAGAAGTTTATGAAATCAGCATTTTAAAAAAAAATTAATACGTTTCAACTTGTTGCAGGCATTGCCCACATACCTTCATACTTTGAAGGAGGCTGTCTCTTGCCTTGTAGAAAACATTGTAAAGGTTTCAAAAACTTACTGTTTAGCTGAAGTGAGGACCCAGCTCCACATAATCTGGCATATGCAGTTGCAAACTTGTACTAAAAGTGCCTCATAAATCAAATTTCTTAAACATTTTGTATTTCATGTCAAGTAAAAAGATGTGGAAAGTGAAAAGAAATTTGCCTGCTGAATTTTCATTCCTTTTATTACTTCAGAGTTTTAATCTTCAAATTTTATAGATCTAGATGTATATTTGTCTATGTATACTTTTTTGTTGGCAGCAGGCTGAAATCCAAGACCAATTCCTTTGTGTTGCTTCAAGTCCATTGCTTTATCAAATTCCATCTTCAGAGCCTGCTGTAACTTCTCCTCCCCTTCCCTGTTCAGAGCCATGTTCGGTTTGTTTGTAGTTGCTGAGAGATTTTGGATAGGCACAGAGCCCTTCTTAAAGCCACCCATCAGTCTAAAAAACTTCATTTCTTCCTCAGAACTTTGAAAAGCAGCTGTACTCCACTGGCCAAACTTTGTATCCTGTGAAACAAAACAAGGTTAACACTAAAATTAAATAATACCCAGACCAAGGAAGACAATTTCTGGCTGTGTACTATGAGAACACAACCAGCTACAAAAGCCTGAGAGGGCTGACAAAGCTGGGAAGCAGTCATTCCACGGGTAGTACCTCTTGAAGGACGTGATAAAAAGAATGACATAACCCTGCATGAGTGCATCTTCGTTAGCATTTCCGTTCATTTAACTGGGAGACAGGGTTTAATGCACTTTCAGAATCTCCTTTCCCTCTGTCTTCAGGAAATCTTCACTTTTCTGCTCTCTGGATACTATTTACCTATCTCAAAGATCCAGACATTGCTCAATCATTTCTCTTATTCTAAGACAACTGTCAGACTTAATCCTCTTTCACTCTGTCACTTTGTATGGCTATCTTTTCATTTTCCTACTGCCTAGCTAGTTTCCAGCGGTGTTTTGTTATGTTTGTTTTGGAGACAGTGTTCAATCTGGTTCATACGCTTTAAGTAATATTTGCATTCCCATCCCGCTAATTACCACTAATATTGCAAGGCTGCAAAAACTGAGGGCATACCCTTATCCAACAGGACTAAATACAGTACTCTTCAAGCCTCCCCTCCCTCACAGTTTGCCATTCCTTAACTCTGCCTTTCACTGTCGTCTTTGAACTAGTGCACTCCTTCAGGATTTTTCTTTTGTCTGCAGATACTGGCTCCTTTCTGAGAATGTAAGTATTGTCCAAGTAAAATCAGAATTCAACCATTTGTAGATAACCCAAAATACATCATATGATTTACAAAGTTTACGAACTTTTGGCTTACCTAAGAACAGGCTTCACTGCCTAAGGATCTTATTTGACTCCTGAGCTATAGCTAGGAGCTATGCAATCATTTATAACTATTTTTGGCAGGACTGCCACTCCCAATCTTTGTCTTTAAAATTGGGGGTGATATTAAATGGAAGAATGTTTGATCATTAATTAAATAGACTGAGCTGGCTACATCAAAGGAAAAAAATGTGAATTTAGCGGTGTGTTTATGTAAGCCTGAAATTCTTCCAACTGAACAGTTGTAGCTTGCATAAAACAGTCATTCTCCACTAGACAGCCAACATGACACACAGCATGCTACACAATATTGCAGGCAAGCCATAGCAGGTTTTTCAAGTTAAAAAGATGCAAGGCTGGAGTATCATTCACTATCACAGGCCAGAATAGCTGCTGTCAAAAGAAAGCTCTCTCTTTAGTATTTTTACTTTGCTCAAAGACAAGTGCTGTATAAGCCCAGGTCTGTGACACAGATGCATGCACACATACACATATACATACGTCCTCCCTTTGGAATGGAAGACATCTGCACAGATGCAAAAATAATTATGGCTTGTCAAACCCTGTCATTTTTTTTTAAGTGAATTGCTGGCAGGCACTACACATAGCTTTTGCTGCAGCATTTCCAGCTCACTCTTTGTGAAGCTGATGAATTCGTTTTCATAGCTTCTACTCTTCTGCATACTACTAAACAGAGACAGATCAGCACCAAAGAACTGAGATCCTCTGCCAAGGCTGTCATTTTTCTCAATGACTTCAGAGACAGATAGCTGCAGTTCCAGAGCTATTGCAGTCTGCCTTCCACTATGTAAAAACCTACAGGAGTTGTTTCTGGCATTTGTTTGAGGTATATTCCAACTTTCTAGGCATACTGGCAGTTTCGCGAAACAACTAAGAATCCTGAACTAATAGCAAAGCTTTCTCTCCTCCTGAATCTTATTACCTCTGCTAAACACTACTGCTGCAGTTTCCACTACTGCTACAGTTTCCACTACCTTACTGTAAACCCATCAGGAGGCAGGCTAAGTAGGCTGCAAAAGCAAAGAATAAAGAATCATCTTTCAAAGAGGTAGAGGAAAGATGTAGAAGTTAGAAGACTGACCGTAAATACCACACACATGCATTATCAGTTGTCATCCCTTTTACCTTTCCATGTGCACCTGTTTCTGAACGTCTGCAAAGTCTTCCAGATTACAATTCAGATATAATTCAGTGACTGCTGTATCCATAGCCTAGAATTATTTATATTTCAGTAAGCAGAAAATGCTTCTGTAGCAATTTGTTGTGGCTCATTCTCCAGAGGAACCAGAGAAAATGTTGGGTTTGAGGTCTGATGATGGGAATTAGAGCTCTGTACAATGCCAACTGCTGGTGGAGTTCACTGGTCAGCTCTCAGACTCTCTTGGGATTGTACTAATTTGTTCTATAGCATGACCTTAAATTTACAGTCAGAAGGAAGACTGTTGTGCCAAGCCGTGTACCTGAGCCACATACAAAAAAACCACTGCAGTGCTTTTTTCAGGAACTTGCTCTGGGACACAGTATTTCCATCAGATCAAAGTCTAAATTCATACATACCCGTTCCACTTTGGGACTGAAAACCTTAGTTTTGCCAGATTCTCTGTCAATTTCTTCTTGCAGAGCCTGCCGCCTCACCTAGCATGCAGAAAAAACAGCACGAGACACTATCTTTTGTGTGTTAAATGATGGTTAATTTAATTCACAGTGAAAAGATAAGGGAAGACTAAAATAGTTATCTTCAGAATTTTGCAAGGATAATTAGAAAGTTGCATGTGATCCTTTTACACGCTCAACTTGAGAACTACGTTTTTTCCAGGAGTATTTTAAATGAACATTTTGCTGTATCAGATGTGTTTAATCTAACTGCAGGTAACAGCTACACTGAAACTGCCAACATTGATGAGAAGCAAAGAAACCTGTATTTAACCTAATAAGCTATTTAGAAGCTTCTGACATTGACTGGAGCTGTACATTTTGGACTTAACCCATGGAAGGTAAAGCACATTTTAAGTGGAGCTCTATTTAGAGAACTCTTGGCATAGATGAGCAACCAAGCAGGTTTTTTTTGTTACAAACTCTATGCATACCTTAAACGCTGACCTGCTTTAAATCTTACACAGTTAAGACAAAGCATACCTTGTCTATGTTAACTTCATCACAGTTTCCTTTTTTTTCCTGCACAATAGTTACATCATCCACATGTTCCTGTAAAACAGCAAAAAGCTTGTATGAATATTTGTATCTATTCTGGTTAATTAGAATTTACACAGCTCTGACCATAAAAGTAGCAAAACCACTAAGCAATACAGTAGTACTATTTTGGGGCAAGAAGAAATAGTCAGATCTAAGCTGGAAATGCCAATTAAACCTGTGCATTTCTTTGGAGAGACTTTCTCCCCAAGGTTTGCACAACAGAAATTTAAGGAGATGTTATCCTTTGTTAACAAAGAGTATAAGGGATTTTTTTTTTTTAAATTCACACATTAAAATGGACCTGCCAACATCATTGGTACATACAGTAACATTTGCAGGCAGGGTCATTTCAAATTAAAGTTTCATAACAGTTGAAATTTATACTTGAAATGAGGGACAGAAAGAGTGGAAGTAGAAAAAAAAAAGAAATTTAAAAAATGGTGGCAAGATAATGGTCCCTCTGAATGCACAGGACAAGCTTGAAGCATGTTGATCCCACTAGCCACTTAAAAAAACCAAACAGACAAAAAAAATCAAGAAGCAGCTGCACTGTGCTCCGTCTTGTACAAATGCAGAGTAGATGATGGTCTCCAAGGAGCTTCCAGTCTGGAAAGGGCACAAGAAGAGGCGTGACACATACATAAAGCGTCTCCTACAATGGCAGCAAACAGCACGTTAGTTCCACGTTTGAGCGCGAGGAACAGGGAGCTGATGTGAAGAGACAGAGCAGCTACGGCAGGAGTAGATGGGCAGGATGGCAGGAGGTAAATCAGTGGCAGAGACCACAAGCAGTCAGATACTGATAACTCTTCCAGTCAGATACTGATAACTCTTCCACAAAGTGCAGCCCTTCAGCAGCTTTGGTCTCATTGACTGGCGTTTCTAGATCATTGCCCTCAGACTTTCTTTTCCAAATTTGTAATGAGCATAAGATTTTTGGGCATCCAGTGTAACAGGATAAGTAGTAAGTCCAGGGTAGTGGTAAATTAGAGCCGTAAGTTTTAGACCAGCCTGGAAAAGGTGGCCAAAGGGAAGATCTATTAATACAGCTAACATAATAATCCAAGCATGAAATAGCCAGGGAACGCTAAGACAAGGAAAAGATCTGTAACATACTTCTGTCAGCAGAAGCTGCTGTTACTTTTTTGAGGGTTTACAGTTTTATGTAAAGCCATCAATGATTTACGTCATTTTCTTAAGCTACCTTTTATACATTGATTTCACACACACACAAGTACAGGCACGATTGAAAATGTAAGAAAACTGTCTGCAATAAGGAGAGCTCATTCTCTTGGATGAAAAATAAAAACCAAACACACACACCCCTCCCCCCAATTTACTTCTAGATGGCCTGGTACTGTCTTGTCAGATCTACTGAAACAAGCAGGAAAACTGTTGTGACAGGACTCTGCAAACAGCTGCAACATATTCTTTTTTTTTAGCTGGAAGGTTACGTGGCAGACGACGGAGGAGGAAGGGTGCATCCCCATCCCTGCTAATTCACAGCATGTTGCTGACCTGCTGAAGGCTACTGCGTGGCAAAAATTACACCCTCTGGAGGTGTGCCAGTCTTCCCCCAACTTCATGGAAGGGGAGCACCTTCACACGTGGTAGGATTATGCTATCTACAGGCAAACAATGTCAAAGAAGTTCTCACTCCTCCTCACTCTGCCCAAGTAGACTGCAATGGCATCCAGTGGGAAAAATATCAATCATTGACATTAAGTGGGTATCACTCCACATTGTCTTTAAAAACTTACTCTTTTGCTTGCTGCACAAGCCCAACAGGACTTTTCAAGGCATGCAGCAGTGTGTGTGACACCAGAAAATGGTTGAGGACTATGGCACTGTTAAATGCAAGACCGACGTTATCGGCCATTTACTACAGCAGTGTCTTTTGACCTGGCAGGAACTAGATTTCTCTAGAACTGATTTACCCAGACTTCTCAATCTTCAGGAGAATTTCTCTGAAGTACTTTTTATTATTAAAGGACAGAGGTGATTATGGAAAAGAGAAACAAAACATGCATTGCCCTACACCCTTCTCCTCGATTGTTTGCAAGGTGTTTGCCGTGTTTTCCATTGTAATTGGTCATGCAGGTTTACTTGTCATTATTAGTGATGACTTCATATTATCACTTATCTTTCCTCCACAGAATGTGAGCAGCTGCAAGACTCCAAATAAAGTCCAACAGCCTCAAAAAGGCAATGTCAATTTAATTAGAAAATCCATCCCAGCAATAAAATCACCTTGTCCTTTGAAAGGTCAAAAGGAGAAACTGAAGTAAAAAGCCCCAAACAACTGCTCACCTAATGGCTGATAAGCATATACACTCCAAACACAAACCTTTGTGGAAAAAGCCCATTATCTGGTCCTCCATGAAGGCTGAAGAACCTCCTTATATAAATCTCTATTTAGTTATTAGCACTAGACCCCAAAAAGCTGCCGGGTTTCCACAGCATGTGAAGAAACTGCATACATGAGCGCATAGCAAAGCAAAGCACACCGTAAAGTGTGCTTGAGAGGCAGCTAGTGCTATGGCCTGCTCTATCCCTAGTTTACAAAAATCTTCAGTGATGCTTTATTAACTAGTGCTCGACTTTTAAACAAGCCAAGCATTCAAAGTTCTTGATAAAAAACAACTGGAGTGCAGTTTCCCATTACCTATGAAAATAAAAATAAGTTCCTAATGACTTGGAATGAGCTGTTTTCAAAGTTGTTTAAGCAGCTAAAAATACAGAGACACCTATTGAATTTCTGAGCATCTCACAGCTTAATTCCCAATGATAACAACAGAGGTCAGGCATGTAGGTACTAACTTTAGCACTTAAATTGCTTTAAAATATGACCCTAATCAGATAAAAAAGAAGAAAGTTTAAAAAAAGTTAAAACAATAAAACCAGATCTTAATAGTCTAATTAAAAAAAAAAATCAAAGAAGAAACCTCTATTTCAAATATTTCATCAGTTCCTCTCCATGTTTGTTTCACCTCAGAAACAGCAATGCTGCAAGACTCTGGGATGGGATTTCCTTTAACAGTCAGTCTGGATACAATTCCAGTTGCTTTCAGTTATAATTTACACAGTTCTTATATCTATTTTTTTTTTTTTTGCATAGATTTAGTTTTTAAATTAAGAATTTGTGTTTAGGTTGTTCTCTAGTATTTTTCCATTAGAATTTATACATCAATGCTCTAGGCCTAGTCTACACTTAGGATTCTTAGAATGTTCTCTAAAGTTTTGTCAAAGTTAGACAACAGGTTTTAGCTAAACTTCCCTCTTGTTTCTAAGACTATGCAATTCCAGCAACAACAGCAGCAAAAGCTTGAGGAAAAGTGTAACAAACACAGTTAGATGCACTCATGCCGCCAATATTACCAACCTGCTCAGGTTAAATGATATGGTATTAAAATATTATTCCATAGGAGCGTTGCCACTTTGCTAAGGGCAACTGAAGGAGGGATAGAAGAACATTTATGACTGTACACACTAGTTTTCTTTTTGTGCCAATACTTGCTGTTAGTTGTAATATTTACATTTTCACAAATGAAACACTAGATGACTACAGCAGTAGGCATTAAAAAATACTTTCCTGTGTGTCACGACTGTTACATGCTGAAATCAATACATCAGCTGATCCTGCTTCTCAAAACCCAGAGAAGGCCCCTGTTGACCTAACTGTCTGAACAGGCAGAACAGCCTGCAAAACAGGAAACTGTCTACCTAAAAAGCTTTCCATTCCTTAGCAGGAGGGTGCAAAGATACCCTCTTCTTTACAACTTACCAGTGCCTCATTTCCCATGTCTTCTCTTTTGATCTTTTTCTTTTTTGCATTTGCTTTTGAACCTGGTTCTTCAGCAGAATCCTGTGGTACTTCTTTTTTAATTTTTTTCCTTTTTCTGTTACTGAGCATATGATTACTATTGCGTAACACCCTATCTACAACATCCCCTGTGACACATCCAGCTCCCTTCATTTCGCTCTCTTTGTTCTTTTTACTGCTTTCTCGTAGTGTTATTTTTTGGCTTTTAGATGCACTGTCGTTGTTTAAAGAAACTTTTGAATATGTTGTTTTCTCCTCCTCTTTCTGAATCTTCTTTTTCTTTTTCTTCTTGATTACTTCATTACTATCCTTGATATTCTTCCTGCATTTTTTTCCAGAAAGCTCTTCTTCCTCCGACTCAACTTCTTGCTGTGCAGGGAGATGTTTATCAGGAACTCTGTGACTGTAGTCTTGATCATCTTCACATGTTAAGGAGGAAACATCTTTGCTTCTCCTCTTCTTCCTCTTGGCCTCTCTGCTACTTCCAGGGTTCTCAGTAATGTCCTCTTCCTCTCTACTTGTCAATGTAATTTTCTGGAAACTCTCTCTTTGCCTTTTTCTGAAGTCACTTAATGCAATGGGGCTATCAGGAGCTCCACAGATGATGTCCTTATTATCTGCCAGTGGTGAAAAGGAGTCGGACTTATCTTTCTTTTTCTTCCTCTTCTTTCTTCTCACATCACTCTCCCCATCATTCTGGATAGTATCCATTTCATGGTTTTCGACAGTAAAAGCTTTTTCTTGTGACATGTATTTGTGTGATTTTTTATGAACTTTTTCAGACTGTTTATGTTCACCGTCCTGGATGTCTTCTAATGCTAAAGAAAAAGTGCCTTTCTTCTTTTTTTTCTTAGTTACTTCACCATCCAATTCCAAACTCAAAGCAGTATTCTTTGTGCTTTTTTTCAAAGCAAATTCATTTTCCTTAGTACCGTCTGTATGATGATTTGAAAACTCCGTATCACTACTCTGATTATCCTCCAACGATAAGGAGGAATGACACTGGACTTTTTTTTTCTTCTTTTTGAGAATTTTAATTTGTTCGTCTGATTCTTCTCCAGGTTCTGAATCCAGATGGCCTTCTACATTCACAAAGCTTTCTGAATGTGCTTCTTTCAGTAATTCAGAGACAAGTCTCTTTTTCTTGTTTTTCTTTTTCTTCTTCTTCAGTTCTAATTGGTCTAAACATTCATCTTCTTTTAAGTTTTCCTTTTTCCTTACCTTTGTTTTTGTCTCAAACTGGTCATCACCCTCAGTTTTAATGACAGTTTGAACACCTTTCTCAATTTTAATGACAGTCTGACTCGCACTGCTTTTCACCTTTTTCTTTTTCTGTACAGCTTCCTCATGAACTTCTTTTCTCTTTTTCTTTATTATCATTCTAAAAAATGAAATTAAGATGTTAGTGCAGCACTTCAACAAGATAACCCAAGTCCTAGCCTATTTGATCTTCCTTTATTCTGAAACCATTCCATATCTCTTATTGTCCCCAGCACTCTTTCTCCCATTTCACAATCTGCCTTCTGTGATGGGAGGGAACCGGAACTGCATGCAGCACTGAAAATAGAGTCTGCTGGCATGGTGAAGGGGTGATTTTTTTGTCCTGTTCTTTATTGCTGTCCTAGTTAGTTTGTAACTTTCTGTTTGTTTTTTTGACAGCTACCGAGCATGACATTTGCACAGAAATATCTACCCTCTAAAAATCTTTCCTCAATGACAAGACATATACATATATACAAATCGGTAAGTATAGATCAGGGGGTTTTCCACACACGTATGACTTATTTAACACTGAATTTCACTTTCTCGCCCACTTAGCATTACAAGATCCTTTTAAGGCACCTTAGTCATTACCTTGAATTCGCTTCTGTTTGCGATTTCTCGTCCTTGCCACCCGTCGCCACGTACGCCTATGAGCAGGTTACAGCAGAGAAGCCTTTGGGACCCACCTGGTGACGCTCCCTGTCTTTGCCGGGAAACCTATTTATCCCTACTTGGTTTCCCATCTTTTAATCAGTAACTAATCCACAGGATTTCTTTAAGCGCCTCTCGTCAGGCGCGCTGTCAGAATCCTTTAGGAAAAACTCCGGGCGCACCTGGGCCCCCCCGGGCCCGCCCCCGCACGCTCCTCAGGGCTTC